AACTAGCGAAGACGAAGAAACCCGTAGTGCCAATTAATTATTATTGTTGAAAATATTTTATATTTTTGTAATATTCGAATAATTTTTTTTTAATGTTTTAATTTTATTTTGGTTTTATTTTATATATATATATATATTATATAAATAAAATAAATATTTAAAAATAAAATAAAGAAACATTTATTTTATTTTTTTATTTATTTTTTTGTGTTTTTCAACGGTTATTCCAACGGCGATCCGTTGGAATCAATTTTCAATTCCAACGGACGGCCGTTGTAAATACCGTTGTAACATTTCGACGGCATTTCCAACGGCAATTCCAACGGATATCCGTGGCAAATACCGTTGTAAATCCGTTGGAATATTTCTAACGGATATTCTAACGGTCCCGTCGGAAACTAGTCACGGATGTCCGTTGGAATTTCCGTTGATATATTCCGACGAACAAATCCGTTGGAATTCCGTTGAAAATATACCACGGAAGAACCGTTGGAAATCCGTTGAAATATTCCAACGGATGAAGGCGTTGGAATTCCGTTTGAAATTTGCCACGGAATTCCAACGGATCTGCATTTCTAACGACTGATTTCCAACGGATATATCCGTTGGAAATCCGTTGGAAAAGTCGAATTCCAACGGATTTTCGGCCATTTCCAACGGATTTGCCGGTTGGAATTTGGGGTTTTTTTTTGTAGTGCACAACACACACGCATTCACATACACACATACACATACATATACACATATTCACATTCACATATATACATAACACATACATACACATACATTCACATATATACATATATATATCTATATACACGATATATATACACATACCTTGGCAAATTTTGAAGAAAAATAATTTGTTGGAGAAGATTGGAGAAGATTGAGATTTTTTAAAAAAAAAATTCGGAGTCTGGAGGAGAAAGACGAAGTCGCAGCTTTTATTAAGTGTTGCGACGGACATTGCCGTCGCAATCCGTCGCAAAACGAAAAATAAACCGCGAAAATTTAAAATTTTTCATCGAAAATAACGAAAAAAAATAAAATTTGGATTTGCGACAGAAATTTCTGTCGCAATTCATCGCAAAACGAAAAATGTCGCAAATCTGTCGCAAATTCTAAAAATAAATAACATAAATTAAAAAATAAATAAAATTAATATATACGACGAAAATTTCCGTCGCAAATCTGTCGCAAATTTTGCAGATATTAAAATTTATGTCGCAAATAATATTTGGTTTTGCGACGACGACATTTTCGTCGTATTCCGTCGCAAATTGCAAATTTGCGACGGATTTTGCGACTATTTACGACGGAATAAAAATTTTCGCATTCCGTCGCAAAACCATCGAATTCTGTCGTAATTTGTTTGCGACGGAAAAATTCCGTCGGTAAATTTCATCGCTATATGAAGATTTTCTTGTAGTAAATTCTCATGTGGAAGCGGCTTTACTGATCAAAAACTATAGCAACAGTCATAAACCTCTCAAAAAGATGGATGTAAATGGTACCAAAATTCAAGCAAGCGACAGTGGGTGTCGCCTCGATGCGATGGCGAGCAGTGCGTCCCTCAATGTGCGGTCTATCTTCCATCGAATCTCCGCTGCCGTGCACGCTTTCCCCTTGAAGATCATGTTGTTACGTTCCCTCCATATCTCGTATACCGCCATTTGGGTAATAAGCTTGACGATGACTAACTGACCACGTTCGCACGAGTTACGACTATGGAAGAGGAAGTGATCGGATGCAAAATACAGGACAATCGAGTTCGGTGGTGTCCATGATTCAAGAGAGTCACCAGAGGCAGATGGAGATACTGAAGTTCGAGGAAGAGATGGTGAGGCCTCAGAGGGAGATTGAAAAGCAAGAAGCTGAAGCTCAGACGATGAAAACTTCAAAGAGGCTTTGCGTTCGGACATTAATGTGTTTGCGTGTTTTGGTGTCTTTGTGTGTTTTGATGAATCTTGTTGTGAGTTTCTGTAACGGTCCTTTTTCCTTTCATCATTGATGTATAAATAAAACATCGAACTCTTACTTTTCATAAAAAAAAATTAAAATGCATAATAAATTACTTCACTTTCTTGGACAACAAGAAATGGTTCCATCTTCGGTTGCTGGATAATTCAAGAAACCCTAATTCGCAAATATCAAAAATCGAAGTCCTATGGTGCAAAAATGTGGGCCCCTTTAGCGCCTAGTCAGCAAATTTATCTGATGGATATTTTATATTCTCTTGCCTAAGAGCGCGTGAAGACACGCGCAGCCTTTGGGATCGGTCGTCGGTTGAGTTACTGACCACGACGACATAAAATCAGCGGAGGAAAAAAAAAAGAAATCTTAAAAAAAAAAGGAGAGGAACGATGGCGGAAGGAAAAGCCGACGAACAGCTCTTCCAGCTTCTTTCAGGTCTTCTTCATCAGGTTTCGAATTTCTGTCTTCGATTCTCGTTAGATTACATTTGTGAATTCAATCTCCTTTTTCCTCTCTGGGTATGTGGTAAAATTACTTGGGTTTGCCGAATTTGATCAGAACTCGTTACGATCTGGATCTGTTCTTCTCGATTTTGGGTTCTTATATCTCCAAAGGTTTCATCTTTAAGCTTCGTTAAGAGATTCCCTTGTCCTGATTTCTTTTGTTGCATGATTAATCGAATTTCCCTTTTGTTATTGGTTCTGATTGCTCGAAAGTTGAATTCCCTGTGTTGTATCATGATCGAAGCTGTTAGGCTCCGTCGCTGTGTTTAGATGTATCCGACAACGGCATAAGGGTTGTAAGCCCTAGATAAAAACGAAGAGCTTGTCGGAAGGGCTGGTCCGAGTAATGCGATATGATATTGTATCAGGTGGAATCTCTGACGAACACAGAGGAGGTTGAGCTGCGATCTAAGATTGAAGCGCTTGGTCTTGAAGTGACGAAACTACCATCCAAGTCTGCTCATCATCTGGACGAGGTCCCAATCCATAGTTATGATCCCATTTTTTGTTTCCTTTTTTCTGGTTTATCATTGGTCAATGATCTTGGTTTGTGTGGTGAAGGTGGAGATAGCGAGGGAGCTCGATAAGTTATCAGCAAAGTTAGACGACGTGGATGAGATGATATCGACGGCCATGGCCGAGGATCCGCAAGTGAAGTCGCTGCTGAGCGGAACGGCTGATGTGTGGATGCCTGTTATCACCGCCAACGCTGACGAGAGGCGTAATTTTGCCCCCACTGTTTCCGATTCTTCTACCCAACATCACGATGATGACGATGATAACAAGGGCTCGTAGCTTCCATTTGCTGTTTCTGGGTGAATTTGCTGCTTCTTTGTTTCTTCATAATGTCAGCATCTCTTGGACATAAGCTTACTGGAGTTTTTGGTGTATCCACCTTCGATTTTCATCTCCTCTGTATTTGCTGGTCAGACTATCCATTACAGGGTCAGAGCACAGTAAAATGCGAAGAGAATTTGGATATCTAACCCACAAGATCAAGACGCAGAGGCTAGGAGCAACCCGAGAGGGACCGGAACGAGAGGGTCAGGCAAGGCGGCGGCCAAGAGCGAGGTGAAAGGGCAGTCGAGTACTCTTACTGACCAAAACCTGAACACAAAGATTGGATCCTCACCAGCATCGGGTCCGTACTCGCTCCGAACGATAGATGAATATCCGAAATTTAAGACAAACGGTTACTCAAAACTTTGAGAACCCGTGATCGCTCCGATTAAACTGCTCGCGTAGAATTGTAACAGACGCAAGGAGCTCATCAACTGAAGGCGCAAGTGCTCTCGCCTCCAGGTCATGTCACAATAAAACTGGACGTAGTTTATTTCATTACGTGTTCCAATTATTATCTATCCGAAGGGCATAACAAATGGTACCACATCGGTTCTTATCTCGGAGCATGAACTGATGCCCCATAACGAATTCCTGAATAGTTTACACTGAAATCGTTCTTCGGACAAAAGTGCTAATCGCTGTCCAACAGGTAGTCCGCAACGCTGGCGAACCTTGACCAAATCACAGGATATGAAGGTTGGCCAAATTCAAGCAGCTTTCTCGCAGAACTTGTCGAGCCAATCCATGGTAACACTCTTAGGCCTCTCCAGTGGCAGCCCTAGAGCCCTGTCCCATATCAACTGAACCATTCCCACCCCCAAATTCAAGTGTTAGCTCACATATATGGCCGCGGTCTCATTTCTAAAAGACGGGTCTAAATGTCGCAATAATAACAGATATACCTGCGAGCATATCCCGAGGCTTCGTGAGACACCAAAGAGCACAGTGTAGTACCTGCCACCCGAGCACATGTTAACAGAAATTTGGCAGTAGAAGGATAAAGACATACACATATCGACCGGGTTTACCGTGCTTCGGTTAGACCATAATGGTTCATTGGGAATGTCTTATGAAAAGATTGATGTTTGCAAAAATGGTTGCATGCTGTATTGGGGTGAAGAAAAAGAATTGGTTAGGTGTAAATTCTGTGGGACTAACAGA